CTCTCTCTCTCTCTCTCTCTCTCTCTCTCTCTCTCTCTCTCTCTCTCTCTCTCTCTATATATATATATATATATATATATATATATATATATATCTATCTATCTTCATTGACTTACCCCCACACTCTGTCCTCCTCCCGAAGACCACCACCATAACCCCACTGACATGCATGCACGTACGGCCTGGTTATGGGTGACGTGCAGCGCTGTACCCCACCTGCACCCTCGTGCGCCTCAGCCCTTGGCTCGTGGCTCACCAGCGCTGAGGATCACAGCACTGCTGCAATGCACAAATTGCCCAAATGAGAGGCAAGGAGGCAGGCAGTTTCCTATATGGAAAGTGCTTGCCTGTTTGGGCAGCCTGGGCCTGGCGGCTGTGTGCCCAGTAGCTTCACGCTGGGCCAAAGTGTCTGCGCCCAGGCCTGATTCAGATACCGGCCTGGGACCGAAACACGCCCAACCGTGCGACGTGGCCTGTGTCACTCGCTGCGTCCTGATTGGCCGAACGGCCTGCTTCCACGTCGCTGCCTGGAAGAGCCTAGAAGGCTCACGATGTCTGGGTCACACTGCATGCACGGCCCCGTAACTGCCTGGCGCCTGGTAACTGCCTGGCGCCCCATAAGCAGGCCAAAAATGGCAGCAGATTGAAATGCAAGCCCGCTGTCCCTTCGGGCGGGCAAAATGCTTGCAGGGGCCCCTGTTATGACCCTGCCAATGACAAAGATCCTCGAATTAGAACGAGATCTAAAATATATCGGTATAATTGCTGCTTACACTGTGTAGCTGGCATTTGTCCCAACTCAGTGCATGTAGTCGTCATAGTATCAGAGCGTACTCACGTCCGGAGGTGTCTGGTGAATCTGACGGCAATCACAGACTTTTCTGGTGCATCTGATTGCAATCCAGTGTGAGTACGATCACGGACTATTCTGGTGTATCAGCCTGCAATCACGGACTGCCCTACATATATCTGACCCGAATCACGTCCAGAGTAAACAAGAAGTCGACGAGAAACTGGATAACGGGCAAATGATTCATAGTTCAATGAAACTGCAAGGAATATGAGCGAGAGTGATAGACAGAAAAGCAAGTTGCAAAATCACGAAGTAGTCCACATGGCACATAGTCATGTACCAAGCAGAGAGCACAATGCACCAAGATTCCATCCAAATAAGAGCAATACAATGAATGAACTTGAGTGTCAATGCCGACGCTCTCTGGTCACACCAACACTGTATCCACTGTCGCCCCTACTGCTGGGCGCCTAGCGCCCAGCCTACGCTACTCAGCCTGTCTACCTATCTACGTTCTTGCAACAGGATCACATCGAAGTCGAAGACCAATGTATGTGACGTCAACACCAATGCCGACCTCCGGCATACACCAGGTACATTCTCTCTCTCTCCTCATCACCCGTCGTCTCCAACTTCATGCTCCTCCTACCCGAAGCACCCAGCCTACGCTACGCAGCCTGTCTACCTATCTACGTTCTTGCGACAGGATCACATCGAAGTCGAAGACCAATGTATGTGACGTCAACACCAATGCCGACCTCCAGCATACACCAGGTACATTCTCTCTCTCTCCTCATCACCCGTCGTCTCCCACTTCATGCTCCTCTTACCCGAAGACCACCTTCGCCATCACCTGCCTGCACCCCTGCAGCCCAGAACACTTGTATGTCTGATAAGGGCCCCGCGAGGGCTCATTCCTCGCGTTAGCGCAGCAATGCAGCAGCGTGTCCGCATTGCCTGCCAAGGCCTGAATGCCCCCACATGGGGCACACACTTTCCTTTATGGAGAGTGGCCGCGGCTGGCTGGCCTGTCCAGGCATGTGGGGGGCCCAGTAGCTTGCCTCTGGCCCAGTTTCAGATACTGGCCTGGGCCTCGTGCAGTTAGGCACGTCCAGGCAGCCACTCAGCCTCCAAGTGTTTGCAGCCTTCTCGTTGGCTCGCGGCACTTGTGCGACGACAATGCTGCTTCCTCATTGGCCCGTAACCCGTCCGTGATGTGTCGGCCTCACACAGCGTGTGCCCAGGGCGCAACCGCCTGAGCCCTGGGCTCAACTGTACAGCGCAGCCCTTTGCTTCTGGAAAGAGCCTGGAGGCTCACGTTGCTCTGTAACCAACTGACATGCTGCAACTGTCTGAGTACCCTCATATGGAAAAATGCCGAAAACAGGCCTCACGTGGATTTTCAGGCCTGCCTTCACTTAGGGTCGGCACAGGCTTGCTAGGGGCCGCAGCCCAGAAGACTTGTATGTCTGATAAGGGCCTCACGAGGGCTCATTCCTCGCAAAACGCATCCATCACATGCAAGCACTTGTTGTGTCGGGTACCACAGATACCAAAGAAACACAACAATGTGATACTTGTCGACAATTCCTCATTGTGTTCAGCTTATGCCGAAAAAGCCTCGTCTGGGTGCCACCAGAACTTCCCCCTGGACTACCACCATCTTTCTCATTCCCCCAGCTATCTGCCATCAACCATCTCAAGAAACAGCTCATGGCAATATAGAGATCTGTTGATTTAATTTGAGAGTATCGGTAGTACCTGAAGTATCTCTTTGAGATAGGCACTACTGGGACTCGGTACCAGTTTCTTGACTTTTTGGTTCCGAGCCCAGCAGAGATGAGACTTGGAGGAGAGCCATTAATCCACGGGCAATATGTCATTGAGTCCGACTTGTTTCTAGCCCGTGACTACGTGTGGGTTGTATAAATTTGTGGGTATTCACTGTAGACGTCCTCTCAGGTCTAATGCCTGGAGACGGCTACCGTCGTCCGAACGATGGTGGTCGAATCCAGCGGAAGTGGGTTGTTGGAACGATGGTGGTTCCTGGGGTTGTGGACTGTTTGGCAGAAACCTGCTGCGGTCTTTCATTGAATATTCCACTGTCAAATTCTCTCTGTGTTCGACGTGTCAAGTGTGATTCTATCGTCATCTAAGGAGCACGCATGTAAGCTTACCTGGAGTCTTCTTACCAGGCAGAGTTAGGTGTGTTTACCCCTTTACGGGTGTTGTTAACTTTTGGTTACTCTTTTCCCGACTGTCCGATGTCGGGAACATGATGGTGGTGAAGCATCGAGTGGAGGAGGCGGTAGGGAACAATGACCATATCGTCAGCTGACATGCTTTAATTGCAATCAGGTGGGGCATTATGCCAATCAATGCCCCCACCGCAATCGCAGGTATAAAAACTCTTCGAGGCCTTCCACTTCTTCGGATTCACGCCGATCAAGATCTCCTCAAAGGTATGATCATAGGCGCCAATATTCTCGGCCAAGAGACTGGGAAATGCAAGCAATGATTAATGAATTGGGAAGCAACTTCGTTGAGATGAAGGAGCATTATGATGCTGAGCGTAAGAAGAAAGGAAAGAAAGCTCGACGTAAGCTGGAGAAAGAGGAGGCAAAAAGAAATGAGGATGAAGAGAAGAAAAGACAGGAGAGGGAGGAAGCCAATGAAGGAGGAGGAGAAGGAGAAGGAAAGGATGCGCAAGGAAGCCGAGCAATGTGCCGAAATGAGCAAAGATCTGCGGATGCAGACGAAGATGGATATGTATGAATTGCGGGATGTAATGCGCGAAGAGTTCATTGAACGCTTGCGAGAAGTCATATTACCTGTCAACATGCCGTCTAAGAATAAGGGGAAGGCGAAGGTTACACAAAAAATCTGAAAAGG